GGGGGGGGGGGGTGAAAGTTACTTCGCGTGGAAAGTTCTACGTTTCTGAACAGGAAAAGGTGTAGATTAGTACTTCATATCATACATGTATAGCAGAAATAATACGTTTATTTTAAAAGTATGATTGTTAATAACTTTTTAACAAAGGACGAGCGACGGCTAAAACCTGTTGGAGGTTACTCAGGGTCATGACCTTGACAACATATGTCTAGGTCAAAGTCATTGGAGGGGGGTCCCCTAATCGAAACATTTACCCATTATGATGGCAAGATGTGCTCTATTCTTGCTGCATTTCTGTTATATTATGTTTGACAAGTCATGACGACAAAATCAAGCGCAGTGTACAGAAATCTGCTCTACAATTGTGACTGAATTTGCTGATTTATCACTAGCATACTGCTAGTATTGTATTTTGCTATCTGGGAAGGAGAAGCTACTCGTGCTGAAACATTTATGCACATTATGTCTATACACAATATTAAAATTTTATGTGTGTATGATAATGTGTGTATGTATGCATACAATTTAATTCTAACAATGCATATAAAAAGATATATTAGTGAATATGAATTACAATTTTGTGTATTTTAAAATGTGTGCATATGTACATGCACAATAATATACATAAAATATTTTAATATTACGTACAGACATGTATTGATGATATATCCAATGCTAAAACTAAATTTTAGATATATAGTATGTATGTATACATATACATACAACAAAAAATTATTTGTAACTTTTTAATGACCACTTCAACAAAGAAAGTGTATTTACATGCTTTTTCGCAGAATAATATAAGGAATCGAGTCTAACCATTTTCAGTCGCTAAAATGTTGAAACTAGATTTTAAAAAATCAAAATTTTGAACAAAAATTCCGAAAGAATTCTGTACGCTAAATTGGATCAAAGTGAACATTTTTTGTCTCCTAGACTTTTTTGATAAAATCAATAGTTTTTGAGATAGAAAATGTCAGAGCTTGAAAAATGACTACATTTACGATTTTTGTTCTCACGAACTAATTATCCAATCAGCACGAATAAAAATAAAAATGTTCGGCCAATCTTAAACTTTAATGAGAATTTTTTTTATTTTGATCTGTACTGTTATTGACAGTGAAAACTTTATTAGAATAAGCTCTGAATTCTCGTTCACGGCGCGTGAGCCGTCTCCAGTCTCAAGGCGATTCATAGCATCGCAGCTCGACACAGCATGCAACATGCTCGGCGCGCCGACGCGACGTGGCAACATAGCGTCAAGATCGCTCACGCACTTCGGACGAGCATTCAGAGCTTCATTCTAATACAGTTTTCACTGTCAATAACAGTACGGATTAAAATAAAAAAAATTCTCATTAAAGTTTAAGATTGGCCGAACATTTTCATTTTTATTTGTGCTGATTGGATAATTAGTTCGTGAGAACAAAAATCGTAAATGTAATCATTTTTCAAACTCTGACATTTTCTATCTCAAAAACTATTGATTTTATCAAAAAAGTCTAGGAGACAAAAAATGTTCACTTTGATCCAATTTAGCGTACAGAATTCTTTCGGAATTTTTGTTCAAAATTTTGATTTTTTAAAATCTAGTTTCAACATTTTAGCGACTGAAAATGGTTAGACTCGATTCCTTATATTATTCTGCGAAAAAGCATGTACATACACTTTCTTTGTTGAAGTGGTCATTAAAAAGTACAAACAATTTTTTGTTTAAAAAATCAAAACTTTGAACAAAAATTCCGAAAAAATTCTGTACTCTAAATTGGGTTAAAGTGAACATTTTTGTCTGTTAGACTTTTTTGATAAAATCAATAGTTCTCGAGATAGAAAATGTCAGAGCTTGAAAAATGACTAGATTTACGATTTTTGTTCTCACGAACTAATTATCCAATCAGCACAAATAAAAAACGAAAATGTTCGGCCAATCTTAAACTTTAATGAGCATTCTTTTTATTTTAATCCGTACTGTTATTGACAGTGAAAACTTTATTAGAATAAAGCTCTGAATGCTCGTCCGCGGCGCGTGAGCCGTCTCCAGTCTCAATGCGATTCATAACATCGCAGCTCGACACAGCATGCAACATGCTCGGCGCGCCGACGTGGCAACGTAGCGTCGAGATCGCTCACGCGCCGCGGACAAGTATCCAGAGCTTCTTTCTAATACAGTTTTTACTGTCAATAACAGTACGGATTAAAATAAAAAAAATGCTCATTAAAGTTTAAGATCGGCCGAACATTTTTATTTTTATTTGTGCTAATTGGATAATTAGTTCGTGAGAACCAAAATCGTAAATCTAGTCATTTTTCAAGCTCTGACATTTTCTATCTCAAAAACTATTGATTTTATCAAAAAAGTCTAAGAGACAAAAAATGTTCACTTAGACCCAATTTAGCGTACAGAATTTTTTCGGAATTTTTGTTCAATGTTTTGATTTTTTAAACAAAAA